ATCTTTGGCAGCAGAGTAAGGGAATGGAAAGCCATGTAGAGAAAACAAAGGATACTCTATGGACGTGCTGTACTGCCAAATCTCAGTGGCCTAGATATGTTCTTGTTATTTATCTATTTCCATCAGTGCTTATGGGTACGTATTGATCTGACTAGCACTGATGTCTATAGGGTCACTGTGGGTATTTGATTTTATCCCTTTCTTTGCAAGGTTTATTAATATTGACTCTTCTTCATTTAATTGGGGCACTAGCTATGGAATCCCTTTTTAATGGAATCATATTAGCTAATGTACTGCCTGTCCACACTCAAATCCGGAGTGCTTCCAATAGAGACCATATACTCTAGTAGCTGATGATGTAAGAAAAAAATTCCAACATATATGTGAGAGAGAATGGCTAAGACAGAACTGAGCTGCAATCTGCAACCTGAATTTCTCTACTGCAGCACCCGGGGCCTAAAATAAAGTAGGTTACTTGCACCCATAATACATAAATGTTATTTCTTTCCTTATTCTATCAAGACCTTCCTCTCCTACACTCATCAAGGGCTGTATTCATGCCTGAAGTGTAATTGTTGGTATGTCTAAATGCTGTTGTAAGGTAATAAGGTAATAATCAGCTAAATAAAGGCAGCCAGGACACACAAGCTTGTACCTTTTCTTATATCTACACTCAGAAGACTGTATCTCTCAAAGATGCATTGGCAAATGTTCCTCTTTGACTCTTCTTCTCTTAAACAGATTTGGAGACTGGTTCTCCCATTTACAGAACAGATTTTTTTAACTTAAAGTGCTCTCCTGGGATTGCCTAGGAAAGCATTTTTTGCTTGATTGGTCTTCATTGTAGAGCAATTTCAGAAGCCTGGTTTTGGACACCATTTGCGATGTGTTTATATTAGAAGGTCAAGTCTTGTTACTGAGCCATTATTGCCTCACTCTCTTGGGACTGTGGCAGGCCTATGACTTTACTTTTCACAAGCAGATTCTGACAAATCTTTTTGACATCCATGCAGGAAAGCAGGAGCATGTTGCACTAACTCCTTTGATAGAAAACAGAACTGAAATGGAAGAGGGGAACAGAACAGCAGAAATTCCACCTTCAACAGATTTATATGTTCTCACTGATTTAGCTGCAGGGGAAAAGTTGAAGTCTGATGTTTTGGTAGCAATGCAGGAGACCTTTGAAAGAGTAATACCCTATTGTGATAGTAGCTTTCTGGAGCCCTCAGGAACACAAGGGATCTGGAGGTTGAGATTATTAGAGGCAAGATAGCTATCAACTGTGTCTACAGTATGTCTACATAGCACCCTGCAGCCATGCTGTATTCCTTATAGCAACTTCTGTTCAACCTGAGTTCCTGCTGCCGCAGACCATGCCTGTCCTTGAGTCAACTTTCTTATGTTCTCAAGATGCTTTCAGGACATTTCCTTGGGCCCTCATCAAATTTAAACGATGGCAATGCCTGACAGAGAAAACCAGAGGCCTCATAGAGGCTCATCCATCCATTATGTACAGAAAGATTACTTTATATTTACTGCATTAATACATTCAGGCCTTAATAGGAAATACAAACCCACCTAAGCCCTTCTTAAGAAATTTTTGATCAGGGGAGGTGAAAAAGTCTTCCAGACTCAAAGTAAGAGATGCCTCCAAGTAGTTTGTAACAGTGTGCTTTGTGTGCGGATGGTTCTGCGCAGGACACAGGACAAGGCTGCATCCCTGCACCTCCACACACCAAACATAACCATCTATTGCCCTGGCAGGATTTTGACACATCCCATGTCAAAGCTACTGTGTGGGGAAAAAAAAACCACTGAAAGTTGCAGTTATCTCAGCAGCGAGCTGCAGAGTAGTGTTAAGAACACCCAGGGTGGTTAAAAGATTTTTGCTTCCCTACACCTGATGGTCACAACACTGACATTGAACTCAAATAGTACTGAAGCATACAAACATTTATCAACTGTTATTTATATCAGGAGTTAACAAGTCTCTTGTCTGGTTAATTTTCACCTTAAGTCCTAGGGAGCTGCTGTGTTCTTGGTGTGCTGCTGGCAAGGGAACTGGCAAGTAAGTGACAGGCAGGAGGGGAGGCTGGGTCTGCCACGCTCATCCCTCAGTTACACTCATTAACATGCTTGGCTCTGCTCACTGCTACACTGGTAGTCGACTTTTTTCTTCTCTTTTAAAAAGAGAGGATTTGTGAATTAAACACACTTACAGCCCTAGCAAGGTCATACCACAGGACTTTGAACTGCATTTGCTTTTGAAAGAAAGAAACTCATTGCTGATCAGCCTGACCCTCCACTGCGCCAGTTGCTAGCACACTTCTGCAGAATGCAGTCATTCTGAGGCCATTTCAGGAGACAAAAGAGATGTATGATTTAAAGACCGGGATGAAACTTTCAAGTGGGTATTTCAGCATGTGACTGAGGACCTGTTCTGAATGATTTAGCCTGAGTGCACCCTAAGGTGGGGGTTCCTTTCATAGATTATGAGGAAATAAATGCATCGATCTTCCAAAGAAGCCATTGCAAACCCTGCAGCATACTGCTCCACCAGGACATCCTGGAGTACTACTTGAGTCAGTGCCCAGATACCCTCATTCAAACAATGCTGGCAGTGCTACGGCTGTGCAGCCTGATGACTTTTGTAGTGCTCTCTGCAGGTGTCCTACTCCTTTACCCAGAGTTTGCATCACTCATCAGCATTTTCCAAAGATTTTGCTTTACTCACCTTTCTGGGTTAGTCTATTTTTGTGTCTTTATAAATCAAACAACACAGTTGTTGTGATTATATCAAAACAAAGCCTCCTTTTCTCTCACAGATATTTTGCTCGCCCTCCACCTCTGTTTCTCAGCAGCTTCTCAGACACCATGTGAGGCTTTCAAAGCCTCACTGCACACTCTAAGAAGAATGTATCTGTCCTGAGGCTATGAGCAAGTAGCTCTGCAATAATATAATTTATGAAACTACAAGCTCAGTGTCCTTTTCTTCCTTCCTATACAAAGCTAGATAGGAACTATATGCTGAATTAACCTGGAAGTTTGTGCCTCACGTGGCTTGTAATCTGAACTATGGCTGCTCCTTCAGATCCTTCATATTGATATATACTTTGGGGGCCAGATCCTTACCTGGTGTTTTCCTCACTCCAGTCAGATTGGATGGATGTAAATGAGTGGAAATTTATCCCTTTTTTTCCCTAAACACAGAAAAATGTAACTTTCCGTATCTGATTTTTTTCTTTCATTTTTATTTCCTCAATCCTTTATATGATCATTATACATGTTAAGAAGCCTGTTTTGGAAATGATTAATGCTATTAATATTTTTCTAATTCAATAAACCCTCTCATCTTTGAACTCCTCACAACATTTTTCTGCTTTCTCCAGCTTTCCACTAATTCAAACACATGACAAATGTGAGCCTTTGCTTCAGTTTTCTATTATTTCTCTTGTCTGATCAAATAAATTAACAGACTTTCATTCCTTTCCCAGGAGTGATACCCATATGTTGATGAAGGCAGTATAAAAATATTACCTGTTCAAACAGGAGGGGTAAAAAAAAAAAGATAAAAGTTATCTCACGTTATTCACTGTTCCATGAAACCAGACAGAGTGCTGATCCTATTCCTTTCACCTTGACAGCGCCCACCATGTTTAACAGTAAATATTACAAGATTTGCAGAACACCATCAATCTGGTTTAAGTGCACTGTATTGTAACATCCCTTTGCAATCTCTCCATACAGTAGCAGTTATTTTAATAGTATTGGAGTACTTTAGTCACTGTGAGGGAACCAGGCGCCCCGTGTAAGCTACACTCTGGCAGGCACGTGGGGCTGGCCAGCAGAGCAGCACGCTGCTAATGCAGCTTTCTCAGTTTGGATAGTTAAAGCTGCATCTGCAGGCCAATTTGTACCTGTGTGTTGTTGATAGACGGTGTGCCACAGGCAAAGAGATACCGCAGGAAATGGATTCTCATTTGACCGTGTTTAATTTTGTTCCCTGGATCTCCATCGTACATCTTTCCGTCTCTCTGCCCACCCAAATTGCTAATGTGAAACAAAGCAACTTCCGTCACCACAGCTCCTAAACTGATGTGTGATGATGATGCAGTGATTGATTTGGGAAAGGTGGGTCGTTGTACATGTTGTACCACAGCGTGCCGTGCCAAGCTGTCCGTGCTGACAGCTGGGTCTTACAGATTTGTCTTTAAAAGTTTGGACGTGAAGGGACTGCAGTGAGCATCCATCCTGAACACTTTAATTTTTTTTTTTTTTTAAGGGAATGCTGCTATTCTAAAACCTTTCTTAGCAGCTTATAGAGGACTGAAGTCATCTGTGCTCCTCAGGAGACACTCTCCTGCTTATGTATTCTCTATCTTACTTGCATGTTTGCTCTGAGGATGGGAAACATAATTCCTCCAATTCTACAATACGGAAGCAGCTTCAGATTGGTAATTTTCCAGAATAGAAAACTGTAAAGTAACGTACAAAATATATTCGAAATATAAAATGATATAATTAATAGCTTTCTCAAAGGATCTTGAAGCGGGGAGAAAAATACTGACGCAAATAGCTCCTCGAAAAAACCCCATTGCTTTTGTTCTTCTTTAGTGAGATTGCAATAGTGTTTAATAACTTCTCACATTTAATGACACCTGTTGAAAGAGTGCCTCTTACATGCCAGGTGACTCTTAGCCCTGCAGGGGAGCCTGCCTGCCTCGCTCTTGCCTAAGGTCAGTAAACTCAGGAGCACACCAGGGAAAGGGGAGTAATTTGCAGAGCAGCCCAATGAGCAAATCAAGGTTCGAGGCCTATAAAGCCTTTGCTCTGTTTTAGATAAACCCTTACCCAAGTGCCTTCTGCACTCTTTGCACACCCCAAAGGGCGGTGCCCTGAAGGGCAGAAAACCTCTGATCACACTCTTAAATCATTACTCTGTTAAAATCCATATTGGGATAAACATGGTTTCCTTAGTTAAGGACTGTGATTTTTGGCAGGCACAACCAGGGCTGCGGAGAGAAAGGCAGAAGAAAACCTGTGAAAATGCAGTGCTTCATAATTAGGGGTCCTTGGGCTGCAGTAAACCCCTGATGGGATAAACCTGTGGGGCGTGGGACAAACCTGGATGGACACAAGGCCACCGTCTCCTCCAGAAAACTCAGGGCAAAGCACTCGTAAACACTTGGGCTTTGGCTGGCTGTGCTCTGGTTGAGGCTGGGGGAGGGAAAATCACTGCCATTGAACTGAATGAACACGACTCCTGAATTTCCTTACTCTGCTTCTCCTCCTGCCCCCATCTCTGGAACACCAGAGCATGCAGCATGCAGGAGGCTCTCAGGTAAGCAAAGAGGAGATGGTCACAGCAAATGACAGCGCCAGAGCTGAGCGCAGCACGCACTGATAAACCCCTGCCAAACCCTTTCCCTTCTGAAACACAATCTCTGTAATGGAAATAATTACCAAAGAAACAGACAAAACTACTTCTGAATGAAATTTAAGCTCCAGCAGACCACAGCAGCGGCAGGAAACACCAAGCACAAGTAACCATCTCTTCATCCTGAATTCACACCATTTTCTGTTTCTGTTTCCTGCACGAAGTTCTCGGTGGTTCAGAATCTGTTGTTGGGGGTGAGCTGCAGGTCAGGGCTTGGATATGGAGCACGTGGGGCAGGCTTCACCTGGTTGCAAAATCTGCCTCATTTTTGAGGGGGGCTCTGGAAATACCTCATGTGTAGGGCACTGGGAGGAACAAGAGTAATTTTGTGGGGGACTTCTGTCAGTTCCCAGAATGATATATATTACTGAGTGAACAAAAATGTGGGAACTTTTTTTTTTGGGGGGGGAAGGTGAGAGTGGGGGTGTAGGATTGTTTGGGATGGGGGCTCTCTGAAAATGCCCAGTGCAGAACTAGGGAACAAACAGTTGTCTTATTTTGTGGTTGACCTCTGGCAGTGTCCAGAATGATGCAGAGTGATGGGGAAGAAAAAAAGGAAAATAAGAAAAAAAAAGCCGTGTGATTTTGGTGGGGATTGCTGGCAATACACAGCACAGCGTTAGATGGGGAAAAAAAATGCTGTAGGATTTTTTTTGGGAGGGGGCTCTGAGCATACCCAGTACAGCACTGAGGGGGAATGGAGGGGAGCTGCATGATTTCGGAGAGACAGACACCCTCGGAGATACCCCCAATGCACACAGTAGTGGGGGGGGGAGGGAGGAAGGGGTGCCGGGGGGACACCCATCCCGAACCCCCGCCTCCTGCAGCGAGCACGGAAAGCGGCGTAATGGCACGAGTAATTCCAAACAGACGCCGCCGGGGTAAGAGTGCAAACGGCAAACCGCCTCCGTTCCCTTCCGCGCACCCCAGAGCACTCGCACTCCACGGAGCGCGCACACGAACGGGGCCCCGCGGCCAAGCGCGTCCCCGCACCACCACCGCGGCCGCTTTAAGGGCGGCGGGGGCGCGCCTCCGGGGCGCCCGGCGCGCCGCCGCCGCCGCCTCTCCTCGCCTCTCTTCTCCTCATCGCCGCGCCGCGCTCCCTCTCCCTTTCGCTCGCCCCGCTTTAAAGTCTCCGCCAGGATCCGGGCTCGCCCGCCACTTCCTGTACGGCAGGATGGAGCGCGCCGGGGCCCCGGCTGACCGCCGCCCGCCCGCCCGTGCGCGGAGGCGGCTGTGAGCTCCCGCTCCGCGGCATGCCGCCCGCCTGAGCGCCCCGAGCCGCCCGCCCCGCGCTGCGCCGCGCGGGGTCCCCGCGCCCTTCGGCGCGCCGCCGCCCGCCTGCCCCGCGGCCGTGGGCTTCTCTCCGCGCTGAGGAGGCGAGCAGCAGCCCCCTGCTTTCTCCCGAAGGATCGCAGGGCGCGGGTCGAAACTTATTTTCAACAAGTTTTTTTTTTTTTTTAATTTTTTTTTTTTTGTTTTTGTTCTCCCCTCCTCCCTTTTTTTCGCGGTTTTTTTTTTTTTTTTTTCCCCTTTAATTTTTATTTTTTTAATTTCCCTGCGCGTTAATTGTTTTAGCCCCTCTCCCCTCTTTCGATGTGCGGCTTTGGACATGCGGAGGCTACTGCAACCGTGTTGGTGGATCTTTTTCTTGAAAATCACCAGCTCCGTGCTCCATGATGTGGTGTGCTTCCCCGGTGAGTGAGAGCGCCCGGCGGTGAGGGGGGAATGCCGGTGCCCGCGACCCCCGCGGTGCCGACGGGAGCCCTGAGGCCGCGTTCCCTGTGCTGCGGGCAGCGCTCCCGCGAGCGCCGGGGCTCAGCTCCGCGCTGTCGCGTTCCCCTCTCCGCGGCAGCGCGGTCGCCGCGACGTGGGGCGGCCCGAGGGGGGGTCCCCGGGCGATTCCCCGCTCTCGGAGGGCTGCCCGAGGGCTCCCGTCGAGCCGCGGGACCGGCGCCCCGATTCCTCCTCTCCCCCGCCGCAAACTTCGCTCCGCGCGGTGCGCAGCCCAACCCGCCCCACTCGTGTCCGCGGAGCTGCCCCGCTCGCGCCGCGCGCTGACCTTGGCGGGGTTGCAGAGCCGCGCTCCCGCTCCGCGCCGGGGCTGACACCGCGCGCCCCGCGGGAATCGGCTATGCGGGCCGCAGGCTGAGGAGCTCAGCGCCTTCCCGCGCGTTCCCGCCTCGCGCTCTCGGCGGCTCTTCGTTGTTCCCCCGCGCCTTCCGCCGAAACGCGGCGGCCGCGCTCCGCGCCCGCCCGACCGCCGCTCCCTCTCCGCTCCCCGCTTCGGGATCCGCGGCCCCGGCAGCGCCCCCGGCCCGGGGGAGCTCGCGGCTCGGGCCGTGGTGCCGCCGCTCCCCACCAGGGGCGCTCTGTCGCCGCCGCTGCCCCCGCGGGGCCGCGCTGTTTCGGGCTGAGCCGCCGGGCCCCCTCGGCTCCGCGCCGCGCGCTGCTGGGCGCGTACCCGTACGCCGGGCTGCCCCCAGTCCTCAGGGTCGTCCTGAAAACGCCTTAACCCCACCCCGAGCCTCTCTCCCCCACGTTGTTTCTTTATTCTCTTCCCGGCTTCGCCACCCTCCCGTGGAGGTCACGGTGGGCTGCGCTCCCCGCCGTGTGTTCGTGTTCGGTACGGGACCGGCGGTGAGTCGTGGCCCCGCAGCTCCTCCCGCGTGCTGCTGCCGCTGCCCGGCTGTGGGCTGCTCCGCGTGTGCCGGCGGGAGCGAGGCTGCAGTTCTCAAAGCGTCGCAGCAACTTCCACTTTTTTTTTTTTTTTTTTTTTAATTTTTAAGTACTCTTCATTTTTATTTCTTTCTAACCTCAAGTGCAGAGCTGAGCAGGTAGAGCTGCCACATCCCGGTCTTTCCAGCAGCTTCTCGGATGGTAAAATGATTGGAAGTGAGAAGAAAATAAGCTGGAGAGAGGGTTAATACCTCTGCAGCTCTTGAAGAAACATTTATCTCCTTTGTATTGATTTCTTCTCAATTCCAGCCCTCAGAGTGAAGCCTTTCTCTCTGGTTCTGATATATATTGCACAGTAATTACATCTAGAAGGCAGGCTCTAGGCACGCTTGAGGAAAACAAGCTGCAATGTAGGCTTAATGTGACAGTACTGTGAGACTTGCAGATTTTGATCAGCGGTGTTTGAGCCTGCTAATATTTGCATTGTGGTTTGATTATCAGGGGGAGCAGGTCTGTGGCTGTTTGCTGTGTGTAGGTGAGCTCTTCAATGCCAGAGCTGTAAAACAGTTGTGTAATACTTGGGGCTGTCTCAGGGCTGTCCATCGCTAAGGGTATGCTTGGGAAGTAGACTGTTGTGCAGATTGCATTTATTCTTCATCCAGAGAACATCATGTCAGACCACAGTGACTCTGCTGCTCTTTCATGCCTTCTTCTGAAAAGCAGCAATTCCTGGGGTGCCTGTGTGTGTGTGTGTGAGTGTGTGTGTGGCGTAGATGCGCTCTGGACTCTGATCATGCATGGGAGATGCCTGAGGCAGGGAAGCTGCAGGGAGGATCTCAGTGGACTGGAACAGGACATTGGTGCTGACAGCATCCAATGGCAAATCATTGGAATTTGTGTTGGCGGGGAATCCCAGCCGTTATTAACCACTTCATGTTTCCTGCAAGTGTTTCAGTTCCTCTCATACAGCTTCCCGAGGAGCTGAGGTGTTGTTATTTTGTCTGCTAAGCAACAAGCACCTTTCCTCCCTCTTCTTTGTATCCAGCTCTCTTTAAATATAAGAAGTCACTGTTTGCTTTCTCCCTTCTAACTCACTTTGTGAAAAAGCACAAAGGGTAATTTTTCTTCAAAAAAATAAACAAACCACTCTCCAAACAAGCCTTTGCAGTATTCTTTCATTAGGATTGCAGTCAGTGCTCACTGTGTAGGTAGGTGCGTGTGTTGCTGTCCCTTTGGTTGCACTCAGAGGAAGGAGGCATACTTGCGCACACAGATAGATAAGGTTTTGCTGTTCCTGAACTGCTAAGTTCAGTGCATTTCTCTGTGGGCTTGTCACTGGTAATTGCATTGCTTAATAAATCAAACCAAGACAAGGTAGAAGAGGTGGTTTCCATGGGGTCTGTTTGCTCATTAATCTAAATTCATGGCACCAAGAATCAGTAAGATGTAAATAGTAATCTTGCTGTGATACCTTTCTATGTAGTTTCTCAGTGCTCTGCTGAGAGGTAAATACTTTCTTGTAAAGGAAAAAGTGCACCTTTGTTCATCTGTGGCTGTTGCTGTGACAGTCCTGTCATCTCTGGGTGATAATTGTTGGTTTTTCCTTGACAAGACGCACAAACCTAGATTAGCTCTGTCTTAATGAATGAAATTGTTGCCCTCCTGGTGCTTGTCTGTAAATGGGTTTTGGATTTTTGAGTCTTCATACTCCCGAGTCGAGAGGTAATCCTGCTGTAACTATTTTCTGCCTGGAGGAAAAAATAGCCTCAGAGCTTTTCTTATGAACTAATCAAACGCTACTTTAGCTGTTCTGTCAAGGTGCTGAGAGGACTGGCTTTGTTTGCTCAAGGTTTTGCAGAGGAAGGTGTGTTGTGCACGTAGAGAAATACGGAATGTACAGGAGAGGGCCCTCCAAGACTTTATTTAGTCCTGTGGCTTTTATGAAGATGACACTTCTTACATTTTAATTATCCCTTATTTTCAGTTCCTTCTTAAAATACACTTTGCATTCCGGGAAGCCGCTAATGGAGTCCTTGCAGATAAAGAATGTGGAATGAGCCTTCCCAGGCTGTGTGAGCCGAGCCGGCTGGCACGCTTCTGGGGGCAGCTCAGGAAGAGCTTGGCTGTCCATGCAGTCTGCAGGAGCTGACTTGTGGTTAACAGCCAGGATGTGGCTTTCCGGGGTCCTCAGGCAGTCAGAAGAGCTGCCTGCACTGACAGCCAGA